ACAAGCTACAACTTGTACAGGAAACTGCGAACCCGCGCCTACAGCCTGGTGGCCCCACAAGGGGGCCGGCGGATTTGTTTTTTTTTTCAGTTGGCTTACCAGACAATGCTAAGAGTAATGCACGATCGCGGCAGTGATTCGGACCATAGGGGCCTGAATACATTGTGTCGTATCTCGATGTTCTTGGGGCCTTGCCGGCTCTGTTGGGGCCTTCGAAGCCGGGTGGTCTATGTCGGAAGGCTCTGTTGGCCTGAAAGGCACGATGTTAAGTTCTTCGCCCGTTTCTCGAGCTGGATTCGGGGTTTTGTGAGTAGAGATCAATGGGGAAGGCTGGGGCCGATCATGTCGCGCGCGGTCTGACCTTTGCGAATGTGGGTAGGCGGTCTCCGCGTCTATGCTTGTGGGAGTCTGTTGGCAAGGCTCAGGGATGGCTGTGAGAGGCAATCGTAAAGCGTTCTGGGAACCACTTCGAGGCGTTGTCAGGGTCTCGTGACGGCCACTGGGGGGCGTCCACGGAGTGTTGAGATACAATGAGAGCTTGCAGCGCCCGTGGAAGGAATGAAGTGGGTCAAGAGGTGCGTGGATGCAGATGAGAGACTCTTGGGATGCTTCTCAGGGGCATCTTGGAGGGCTCATTGTGGCACCTAGGGGGCTCTTTTGAGCTTCTCGGAGGCCTCTTCGGGGCCTCGTGGGGGCTTCTTGGAGGCCTCTCGGTGCCTCTTGGGGGCGCTTCGGGGGCCTCCAGGGGGCTTGAGGTCATCTTGGAGGGACAGGCCCGAATCGACAGTTCGTATTCGCCCTCTTGGGCCCCTCTTGGTGCCCAAGAGGGCCTCTCTTGGGCCGTCTTGGGGGCCCCTGGGGCCGTCTTCGAGCCATGTTGAGCCGTCTTGGGCTCTCTTGGCGGCATCGTGGTTCGTCTTGGGACGGTCTTGGGGGCCCTTTTTCCGTATTCGACGCTGCCAAAACGAAAAACGCGAGTATGCTATAACATGTGCGCTTCTCATTGGAATGGGCAAATTCTTGCTTATAGGGTCTCTCTCGGCGGTTCTCTGAAAGCACTCTTGGGCCGTCTTGGGGGCCCCGTGGGCCATCTCGAAGGCATCTTTGACCGTCTTGGGGCTACAGGGGTCGTCTCGACGCTCTCTGGGACTGTATTGGCGCTCTGTTGTGGACCCCCTCTAGGTTTGTCTGGGGGCTCTTTGGGGGCGCTGGTGACCCCATTATGGCTTCGGTGGCCCCAGGGGGGCGTGGGAAGCCCGGAGACACCCCCCTCCAATCGGATGCTGGACCCTGGCGGAGGGGGATTACCGTCTGCGCCAGTATTCATACGCTCACTTTGAAGTTGACTGGTATGTGGGATGTTTAGAGGCTGACTTTCCTGAATGCGAGGCCGCCTTCGTTTTTTTTTTTTTTGTTTTGTTTTTGTTTTTTGTTTTTCTCTCTCTCTCTCTCTCTCTCGGGCACCAACAGTGATACCTGCACGTCCACCGGTCGCGCCCGAGACTCCTGGGCCGAGCCTCGGCTCGATCGGACTGCTTGCTCGCGGAGGGGAAAGGGGGAAGGGGGGCGAATGGAGCGCCTGAGGAGTCGAAATTTGTCGAGAGCTCTAGAGGTAATCGTAAAAACTAACGATTCTGTCATACTTGTTTCTATTGTAGAGGAGGCGAGGGGGGCAGCCAGAGGTCTCACGCGCCTTCCCACCCCCGGCCAGCGAGGGGTCGGCGGATGCAGGAGGGCGGATGCAGCCTGGTCTGGGCGGCTCTTGCTGGGGATGTCCTCAGAAGCTGCCTGGCTGGGCCCCGGGTTTGGCCCGGTTGGGCCGCGCGCCCCGCGCGAGATACCCTCAGCATCTGCCCGGCTTTGCCCCTGGCTTGGGCCGCTGGTTTGGCTCCCGGGTTGGCCTGGTTCGGACCGGGGTTGCGTCGGATGCGTCCTCAACGCTTGCCTGGCTTGGCCCCAGTTTGGCCTGGTTTGGGCCCGGTCTCGCATGAGACGTCCTAGAAAACATGTTCGGTTTGGCTTTTGTTTGGGCTTAGCTTCGCCTGAGACGGCCTCACAACTTGCTTGGCTTGGGCTTGGCGAAGCGAAGATTCCCCGAAGGTATGCACCGCTGAGGAACGTTCATTCTGGGCACCGTGCGGTCTCAACACGCAGTGGGTTGTGCCAAGTTGTCTGCGACACCGCAAAAGGATTTAGCAGACGTCGTGGTGGGTGCGTACGTGCCAAAGTTTATGGCACGGTGTCCTGGATGCCCATTGTGGCCCACATGTGGCACACGACTGCGCTGCAAAAAGGCGAGCGGCATGGGTGTCAATCACCACCTACCAACCCACCCCAACCCAACCCGATGGCCTCACTTTGCCCTCCATTTTCAGTGGGGGGGGGTCGGGGAACGTTGAAAAAACACATGGAACCCGTACCCCCCCCCAACCCGAAATTCGGGTCAAATTCGGGTCTTCGGGTTGGGTTGGGGTGATCTGGTAGGTAGTCAGTGAACATCGTTTCCGAATCGATTCGATTTCGGATTCTGATTTGGATTCCGATTCCTCAGCGGAGGCCCTACTGGCCTGCCGATGTCCGCCGATTGCACTTTCCCGACCTCGCTGCCCATTTCCGCCGATCCGACTCGTTTCGATCGCCGATCGGACCTCAGTTCGATGCTATGCTCTCTGGCCCATGGCTTGCAGTTTCCTCGGGCGTGGCCAGTGCCCTCGTCCAGCAAAGTCCCCGTTATACGGGCCCTGGGCGAAAGCTCACTCTTCCAGACATCCCACGATGTTTTGTTAACAATGCGCGGCGGCCCCAGGTCTCGACCCCTTCCCTGTGAGTGTGTGAGTGTGTGTGTAGCTCTTAGCCGGAAGGGGCCCGCTCCCGACCCGCCGACAAAAAAGTGTGTGTGAGTGTGTGTGTGTTCCTTTCCGTCCCAGACATATGTTTGATTATCCCGAGATCCTGTAGGAGGCCCCAGGGGCCGACGCTGAAGCTGGGCTGAACAAAGATTTCGTCGGACATCTGGTGCAGGGCCCTGACTTGGCCCCCCGACCGCCGGACGCGGTTTGACAGCAGCGGCTTCTGCGACAACTTGCGTGCCCTACCCCTCTAAGACCCGCTCGACGCTGGGACATCGGACGCCCCCGCCGGGGATCCACCTGGCTGTGGACATCCTAGCTTCAAAGTCTGTACCACAGCCAGCTTTCCAGAGGTCTGACTTGCATGTGGTGGGTAAGGCTCTCGCGCCTGGTAAGGCCACGGTCTTGTCTTTTTTCTTTATTTGTATCTATATATATATACATATATATACACATATATCCACATCTATATTTATTTATAGGAATAAATATATAATTCCCCTTGCGATCCGTTAACGGGGGAGGGCGGCAAGGGCGCTGGCAACGTCACGATTCGCGCCGGCGCCGTCTGGGAATGAGCTGCCCCTAACAATTCCCAGACGTCGCCGGCGCGAACCGTCACGTCACCTGGTTGGGGGGGGGAGAGCATCCCCTGTAATGGCCGGGAGCCGGGGGGGGGAGGGGGAGATGTCGGGGGAGGGGAGTGTGAATGGATATCATGGCCAGGGCCATAATGTTGAATGGCCTCCGGCCAGTGCCGCCGATCCAGGGCGCTCCGGATGCTGGTGGTTGGCACGACGACGGCGACGACGACGACGACAACGACGATGACGACCTCGACGCCGACAACGGACGACTACAAGGAGGAGGGAGGCGGGAGGCGGGAGGCGGGGGGCGGGAGGCGGGAGGCGGGAGCAGGGGGGGAGGAGGGAGGAGTGAGGAGGGAGGAGGGAGGAGGGAGGATGGAGAGGATGGGGAGGAGGCGGAGCAGGAGGAGGACATAGAGGAGGAGGAGGAGGAGGAGTAGGAGGAGGACGAGCAGGACGAGGAGCAGGGTGAGCAGGAGCATGAAGGATGATGATGAGAACGAGGATGAGGACGAGGATGATGACGAGGATGTGGACGATGACGATGATGCTGCTGCAACTGCTGCTGATTCTGATGCTGCTGATGATGATGCTGATGCTGTTTTTGATGATGATGCTGATGATGCTAATGATGATGAAAATGATGATGATGATGATGATGATGATGATGATGATGATGATGATGATGATGATGATGATGATGATGATGACGATAATGATAATGATAATGATGATGAAGATGATGATGATGATGATGATGACGATGATGATGATGCTGATGCTGTTTTTGATGATGATGCTGATGATGCTAATGATGATGAAAATGATGATGATGATGATGATGATGATGATGATGATGATGATGATGATGATGATGATGATGATGATGATGCTGATGCTGATGCTGATGCTGATGCTGATGCTGATGATTATGATGATGATACTAATGATGATTATGATTATGATGACTAGGATTATGCTGATGATGTCGATGATGCTGTTGATGATGATGGTGGTGGGGGTGGTGGTGGTTGGGGTCATAATATGTCCTAGATCACATGGCCCCTTTTCTTCCTTCAAGACATTCCCTGCCACCGCCCCGGGCCATTATTTGCGAACCCCCTCTTGGACGCCTCCTCATGGACGCCCACGAAGGTGGGAAGGGGAGGAGGGTTGGGAGGGGAGGTGGGAGGGGAGGGGAAGGGAGATGGGAGGGAAGATGGGACGGGAAACGGGAGGGGAGGGGGAGGTGGGAGGGGAGGGGGAGAAGTTGGAGGGGGAGAAATGGCAAGGGAGATGGGAGATGGGAGAGGGGATTGGGGGGGGGGGGGAGGGGGAGATGGGAGGGGAGTGGGAAAATGGGAGGGGACGGGAGGGGGAGCTGGGAGGGGAGATGGGGGAGGGAAGGGAGGGGAAGATGGGAGGGGGAGATGGGAGGGGAGAGGGGTACCTGGGAGGGGAGGGGGAGGTGCCTCCGCAGCTGGCGCCCGGCGCCCCCGCCGCTCACCACCTCCCGGGCGCCCAACCCCCCCGGCGGCGGCGAGGGCCCCCCCGGCGCACCGAGGCGCTTAGCCCGGAGGCGCCCGGCGTGGTGGGGCGATCCTCCCCGCAGCCAGTTCTGCTCGGCATCGCTCGGACGTGGGCCTTGTGCTCCAGACACCCCGCGCAGGATCATCGCCCCTCATCCTGCCATCGTCGCCAACGGCATCAGCATCATTCCGATCATCATCATCATCATCATCATCATCATCATCATCATCATCATCATCATCATCATCATCATCATCATCATCATCATCATCATCATCATTATCATCATCATCATCTTCAGCCTCATAGCCAGGATGTTCGTCATCGTCATTATCATCACCGGTATCATCACCATCATCATCATCCTCGCCATCCTCATCATCACCATTATCAGCATCACCATCATCATCATGTACACTCATCAGCATGATCAATATCATCATAGTCACCATAGTCATCATCATCAGCATCACCACCATTACCATAATCTTCATCACACCTTCCCACTCACTCATTCACCCACTCCCCCACTCATTCTCGTTTATGAATGAGTTTTGAAAAGATCTCAGGCGGGACCCCCCCCCCCTATGGGACCCGCAGCTCACGTCATTCATCCGAGTGGATCGGCGGAAACACGTAAGTCTCATCTTTTTTGGGCGCCTCAGTCTTGATTATGGCGGAAGTCTCGAACGGGAGCTTCGTTTGTGAGTGAATTGCGAGGGCGTCTCAGACGGAAGCCCCCTCCTTATGGGGCCCGCAGGTGATGTGATTAAAACGAGCGGGCCCTCGGAATCGCGTAACTGTCGTCATTCTTGGGCTCCTCAGTCCTGAACGTGGCTGACGTCTCGAGCGGAAACCTCGTTTGTGAGTGAATTGCGAGGAAGTCGCAGGCGGGAACCCCTCCCTATGGGACCCGCAGCTCATGTTATTAGCTCGAGCGGGTCATTGGAATCATGTATTTGCCATCGCGTTTGTTTTTTTTTGAAATTTGCATAACCCCATGCCCCCGATAATAAACCCTAAGGGATCATAAAGTTCGGGGTGTTCGGGGGGATAATAAAAGTTGCCCGCCAGAGCCAGCATAAAGATATATCAAGAGGAAAAGCCAAAGATATCTTGAGGATCCTTGGTCTTTGGTCCTCTATGAAACATCCTCAACAATGATTTGTCTCGGTTGAGACATCCTCAACGAATTGCTTGTTTCGCTTGAGACATCCTCCTCATCAAAAAGAGAAGAAGAGGCAGAGGAGGTAGAGGAGGAAGAGGAGGAAGAGGATGAGAAGGAGGAGAAAGAGCAAGAGGAGGAGAGGAGAACGAGGACGCAAACATCCAAAGTTCAAAACTTAGTATATTCAATTTGTAAACGCTTAATGCAACTTATTTTTTGCATCTGCTCGTGTAGGGGTAGCTCATGCGCTTAGTTTTCCCAGGATAATCAACCCCAGCGATAAACAAGTTCAGGGGGCCAGGGAGACAATAAGAAAAATACATAGAAATATACACATAAAGAAAGAAGAGAGGGAAGAGGAGAAGGATGAGAAGGAGGAAGAGCAGGAGAAGCAGAGCAGGAGGTAGAAGCAAACATCCAAAGTTGAAAACTTAGTAGATTTAATTTGTAAGCGCTTAATGGCAATTAACATTTTCATCTGCTCGTGTAGGGTAGCTCATGTGCTTAGTTTTCCCTGGATAATCAACCCCAGCGATAAACAAGTTCAGGGCGCCAGAGGGAAGAGGAGAAAGAAAGACAGAGAGAGAGAGAGAGAGACAGAGAGAGAGAGAGAAGCAGAAAGCAACACAAAGAAAAAGAGAGAAATAACACACGTGGTCGCTTCGCTTGATGTTGTTATCTCAACATAAGAAGGAAGTAACCTCGATGGCGAACTTTCCCAGTGATAATGAAGTTCGGCCTCCGCGCCCCCGCGCCCCCGACCAAACTCTTATTGGTCGACGATACAAAACTCTAACGACTTAAGGGGGGTGGTACATTATTATCGTGGGCATGGGGTTATTGAGAAAGTCGCTGGCGGCGGAAGCGCCGTCTGCGACTGAATGGCGAGGGTGGCTCAGGCGGGAGCCCCGTACGTTTGGAGCCCGCAACCCATGTGATAAATCCGAGCGGGTCATCGGGACTTTGTAATTGTCGTCATTTTGGTTTCTTGAAGCCTGAAGGTGTCACAAATATCGCGCGCGAGCTTCGTTTGTGAGTGTGTGGCGAGGTCAACCCTGGGAACGTGCTGACCCTGCGGCCGCCCACGCGAGAGTTCCTGGAATGCGGCCCGCAGGCGTCCTTGCGAAGGCGCTAGGGGAGTTCTACAAGAGAGCGAGAAACTCCAGGGCTGAGGCTGAGCAGCTCGCGGCAGAGTTGGGTTTCGCATTGTTCTCGCCTGAGCGCGGGGGCGACTGGCTCGAGGCTTCCGGGGTTGTCCCAACAGCTTGCTCCCACGCCCGAGCGGCTCGTGGGGTTCTCCCAACGGCCTGGCCCGCGGGGTTACCCCAGCGGCTTTGTGATTTCGCCATCCGGAAAAGCGCCCGTACCCGCCGTGGCGGGACTGGCGCCAAGGATCATCGGTTTCGTTCCCTTGCTAGAGGTGCGGGAGAGGAGGTGGATGAGGGAGTTAAGGCAGGAGTTCGGGGGGACCGCTTTTGCCAGGGCGAAAAGAAGAAGAAGGGCAATGATGAGACGAGGAAAGAGCTTCAGCAATTCAAGGACGACGATGTGGTCTACTTCCAAGTAGGTTTGGACAATTTTCCAGCGGGGTGCGACCGTCGGAGTATTTTTTGTCGCGGTCCATCCATGAGCATATGGGGATATTCCGAGGCTCTTGGACATTCATATATATATATATATATATACACATGTGTACACATACATCCATACATCCATACATTCATACATACACACATACACGTATACACATATATCGCGTTACCGCCTGGAGGACCGACTTTTGGGCAAAATCGACAGGTGGTGGATGTGGATGTATTCGAGTACGCTGGGGTCCAAATCCATACCCACCGCCCGCTGGGGTTCCGCGACGTCGGTTCCACGAGCGGTGAATGTGTGGATCTACCCCGCCTCGTAGCTGTTCTATTCTCGGCGAGGGCCACGGAGGATCACTTTGGATTATTTGGCGAAGGCGTAAACGCGCGAAAACGAAGAATGCACGGGGAATGGACGTCCGAGCGATGGCATGTTCATGGTCGGGGAAGCGTAGAATTGGAATTCGCTGGAGCTCGGGTCAACGTATGGTCGGGAAAACGTGGACATCGAGTCAAGGGGGTATTGGAAACAATGACGATTTCTGGTTTTGTCTAGTCGTGTCTGTGCCTTTGGGCCTTTCTATAAGGCTCGCTGGAGCCATGGTGTGCCGACGGTTCTTGGCGAGCCTGTCCTGGCTGTTGACGTTCCAGGTTTCGAGGGGCGTTTGAAACGTGAGGTCGCGTCTCATGTCAGACTGGATTTCCTGACGGCCCCGTCACGCCAACCCAAGTTCCCCGAACCCGAGTCTTGTGTTTTTCCCGGTATGGTTTGGCAGCGCTGGGGGGTGGATGGGCTCAACGTTCGGGGGGGGCGCAGGCTCAGGGAGATGGCCACAGGGGACGGCGGACATGTTCGAGGGGAGATAGGCTCAGGGGAAGGAGGGATCGTAGGCTCAGGGACAGGCTGGGGTGATAGGGTTATGGGAGGGGGTCTCGGCGCAGGTCTTCACCAGAGGCAGCGCTAGGGGGGGAGTCGCTCAGGAGGGGAGGGCAGTTTTCGGACATCTTCTGGCACTCTCGAGGCCCGGAGCGGTTTCCATCAGCTGCGCCTCGTCGAGAGCGGTTCCAGGGGTACCCGGATCGTCCCGAGCAGCTGCCGTAGTCCCGAGCTGTGGTCCGACAACCGAGGCCGGTCAGGGACAACGTTGGGGGGGGGGAAGACTGGCGAGTGGTAATGGGGGGTGACCCACATGGGGGGGTGAATAAAAAAAGCCCCGAAGGTGCCCTATAGGGCCCTCTGGTCCCTGCTGGCTCCAAAAGGTCACCACCCACCAAACCACCCCAACCCAACCCGAAGGCCCGATTTTACCCTCGATTTCCAGGGGGGGGTCGGGGAACATTGAAAAAGCACATGGAACCCGTACGCCCCCAACCCGATATTCGGGTCACATTCGGGTCTTCGGGTTGGGCTGGGGTGGTCTGGCAGGTAGTCGAGAGGGGCCCTGAAGGATCCTTCTGGGGCCTTTCTTTCGTCACCCCCCCACCTATAGGACACCCCCCCCCGTGCCGCCCGCCCGAAAATGGGTCACGGCCGGATGCGTCGACCCCCCCCGTCGCCGAATCGTCGTCGTCACGGGGCCCGACGGCCCGCCCCGCCCGTGCTCGTGCGGAGTCGCCTGCCGCCGATGCATCGGCAAGGCGTCGCCGACTCCTGGCCGATGCTCCCTCCCCCTGCCCCGCTGAGCTGGCCCCCCCCCTCCCAGAGATGCGACGCCGTGAGTTTTGCTCTTCGGGCCCCCCTGGAAGTCTCGGTCCATTTCCCAGGACCGGTCGTCCACCCTGAGTCGTTTTCTGACGGTCCCGCGGTCCCGGCGAGGTCCCCAGAGGCCGAGTATTGCGAAAAACCTCCGTCTTGATTTTGCAATACGTTGGATTTTTGGGCTTCAGGTCTCCAAAGCCTCAACGCATTCAACCTGTTCAGCACATCGAGAGACGGAGGGTTGTCGCCTCCCTCGGCCTCCGTGGCCCCCTTTTCGGGGCCAGGGGGCCGTCCAAGATCGGCTCGGGAGAACATGCCGGCCATCTGGGGGAGGGGTCGGGACTTCCGTGGACCCCGTCCTGAATACAGGCCTGAGACCCGTGGACCCCGTTCGGGACTTCCGTGGACTTCCGTGGACCCCGGGACACTGGCACCGGGTCTCCAGAAACGTCTTTCCCGACATGCAGGCGTCGCAACGTCTTTGCACTGCGCGGTTTAGTCCGCTCTCGGGACCCGCGGGACCCACACGATTCGATCTGGCTCGGGAGATACCGCAGGAAGGCGAGGTCCAGAGACCTCCAGTCGTGACT